TCCCAGCTGAAACAAAATGAGTCCTAGGCTGGGCCACTTCTTAGATACCCTCAAGAAGAGTGTAAATAAAGTCAGCTGGTTCTTGCTGGGAAAAGAATGATCTGCTTGTGAATAGTCAACTGTTGATTTGAAGATTAGGGCTGTGATCTAAAAGAATGTATTCACTATACCACTGCTTACTCTGAAGCCTAACTTCTAGGCTTTCAGCTGTCCCCTGGACAGGGGAGGGGACTGAACTACAAAGGGCCTGCCACCACTTCATCCAGCATTTTTATTTAAGGACAGGAAATATTGATGCCTTTTATTCTTGGTCTTGACTAATTGCTTGTCTTTATTAAAGGCTAACTGGAAGGTAATGCTGGGGATGTAACAGTGGGGACCTTGATGGGCTCAGCCAAAGCTACTCAGCACAGAGGTTAGGAGAAATAGTTTTCTCAGTCTGAGAAGTTAGAGAACATTTGTTATGTGATTTAAATGCAGAGAAAGACATGATCTTCACTTTTGGTGATCGACGGGTTATCCCTTAGAGCAGTCTGAGAGGATCCTTTGTGGCTCTGAAATATTATGCTAATGACAGCATAGGCAATGAGCAGACAGAAGAGAGATGTTGTAAATAGGCCAAGAGCACCAATCCAAAGCTACATTATGAAGGACAAATGTATTTTCATCAAACAGATAAAAACAGCTACAGAAAAACACTGGAATTAAATGGCTTCAATGTATTAGCCTTAGACAAGTTGGGTAGATTTGTACTAGCATCATTAAAACTCTTTTCTGAACCTGTTAAGATTAGCACAGATTAATACCAGAATGCATCTGAGTGCAATAAGCTCTTCTAACCGAAACTTCCTTGAGGGCACATTGTACTGTTGGCCTCATTTATGCATTCATTGATAAAATGAGTATCTTGCTGTCATGAAGGTGGCATGTAACTCCCTGTTGGTTTTGACATGATGTAACTTGGCCTATGGGTCAAGGTTGTCATGGCCTCTCTTGTCCCAGTGGACCTGCGGGGTGAAGGGGAGCTCTGGCGTGATCGCTGGTGGTGCTGGTGGCAGGCAGGGGCGGGGTGTTCCTGTCAGTGATGCTGTCATGGCTCCCACTCTGGTCACTGATGCAGCCTGTGAGGCAGATGTGTGGCTGAGGTGGCTTTCTGCTCTCTCGCTGCTTCACAATGGAAGGAAATGGCATGGGACTGAAACAGGCTCTGATGTCTCTTTCTCTGTTGGCATCATGTTTTACTTCTTTCTTATGTTCACTGATGTCCTTCTGGGGCACTTTTGATCTTTTTGCCTGGGGCCCAAAGCAAACTCTTGAGTTCAGTGGAATAGGGACTTTAAGAGTTAGCATTTTTCATACACCAGGTAAGTTGCTACATGAACAAAACACCTTTTCCTGAAGATGCATTTTAGCATCCCTTTCATCTATATGTAGACCATGGACCTCGGGAGCACTCCCAAGGACTCCAGATCCAGGCTGCTTGGTGTATGACCCAGCTGTGTTTGTTTCTATGCTGCAGGGAGACCTGTGCACCCACACCCCAAGCCACCAGTCCAACCTCCCTTCCTCTTTCCATCTGTGGAAAGAAAATGCTGGTCTGGGGACAGGACAGAGGCTTCAGTGTGTTCCTCAGGGTGCCTGCTCTGTTTGCACTCAAGGGATCAGGTCTTGTGCTGTTTTGGTACAGCCCAGTAGCTAAATACCAACACAGGCTTTGTGATGCATGGAGTACTGTTTGCCCACGCTGGCAGTCCACACATGATCTTTGTAGCCTTGGAAAACACTGAGCACTAACCTGTCTGTAGAGACAGAGAATTTATTTAACTGAACAAGCAAGGGAGTGAACACCAAGATCATGAACATCTGAAAGACCAGCCTATTCAGTCAGGAGTCCTCCAGCTGGAAGGTGAAGCCACTCTTGGACTTTCCTGAGAGAATCCAAAGAACTGCCCCTGTCCCCCTTTATTTACAATCCTTATAACTCACTTGCATGCCTCCACCCACTGGGTGCCCCTTCAGCTACTTGCTTCTCAAGCCAGCAGGTGGCCCAGGTGGCCAAGGCGGACAACAGCATCCTGGCTTGTATCAGGAATAGTGTGGCCAGCAGGAGCAGGGAGGTGATTGTCCCCCTGTACTCAGCACTGGTGAGGCCGCACCTGGAATACTGTGTCCAGTTTTGGGCCCCTCACTACAAGAAAGACATTGAGGTGCTGGAGCGTGTTCAGAGAAGGGCAACAAGGCTGGTGAAGGGTCTGGAGCACAGGCCTTATGAGGAGCGGCTGAGGGAACTGGGGTTGTTTAGTCTGGAGAAGAGGAGGCTGAAGGGAGACCTTATCGCTCTCTACAACTCCCTGAAAGGAGGTTGTAGTGAGGTGGGTGTTGGTCTCTTCTCCCATGTAGTTAGCGATCGGACGAGAGGAAATGGGCTCAAGCTGCATCAGGGGAGGTTTAGGTTGGAAATTAGGAAAAATTTCTTCACGGAAAGGGTAGTCAAGCATTGGAACAGGCTGCCCAGAGAGGTGGTGGAGTCACCATCTCTGGAAGTGTTCAAAAAATGGGTAGATGTGGCACTTTGGGACATGGTTCAGTCCAGTCTACCCTTGATTGGTTTAGTGTGGACTTGGTAGTGTAGGTTAATGGTTGGACTGGATGATCTTAAAGGTCTTTTCCAACCTAAATGATTCTATGATTCTATGATTCTAAGCTAGTATGCTTATAGCTTCTTGCTGCAACACTATAACAATAAAAATATCTTTTTTTTTTTTTTCAAAAAAAGCATTTTAAAAATTTTATCCTCTAACGTAAAAAAACTACATCTGTATCACCACTCCAGTTTTGAGGCAGGTAATTTTTCTCCAGGTTTTGTAAATAAGGGATTTTCTTTGTCTAGCATAGACACTGGTACCAGGGTTTACGCCTGCAGTGTCTGGCTTGTGGAAGAAGAATCCAAAGGCTGATTCATAATTTGTATGTGAGAGACTTGGCATTGCTCTAAGGAATAACAGCCAAACCATCCAGTCTGATGTGTGATTTATTTCTTGTAATCAGCTAGTCTACTGAGTCCTACCAGGTACAGTGAGAACTTCTGTAAAGTCAGCAAAGCTGGGCTGCAAAGAAATTTATTAAACTGAACATACAGAGGAATTTGTAAATGGGAAGATGAACAGAATTTAAAGAGAGAGTGTAATAACCAAAAAATAGGATATGGAAGAGAAATAATAGGAAATGGAAAGAGCACAGCATCTGCACAAATCTTAGTAGATATAGGAAATGTAAAAGAAGTAAAATTTTACTTTTAGGCATATGATTTCCAAGGTCTACAGTGGGAAAATCAGAAACTATGCAAAAGATAAACAAAGATAACTAAGATAAGGTAACTAAAGATAACCTAGGAGAACTAAATCATGCTGTACATTAACAAATAGAAAGAGAACTGCAGATAGGCATCCTCTATTCTTTTCTTTTGGGCATAGCAAAGACCTATGAGCTGAGATCTGGCACGCAGGCAGGTTGGATACAGTAGGGAGTGTTGCTGTTCACTAGCAGGCATTATCTGCTCAGATCTAACAACTGTACTTGAGCATAGTTTGCTACCTCTATTTTGTGATAATCTAAATTCTCTTTCCTGTAGTGGGGAGAAGGGGCATGCAAAGTTCATCTCCAGACTATAACTGCATAATGCCAGAGGAGCCATTTTACTCAAATGAATAAAAATGCTTTTCAGTGTCTCCTTTGGTGCAGGGACTATTTGTACATAAGAACATTTCATTCCATGGCCCAGGTCTTTCAGCGTCCCTAGAGTGAAGCTAGCAGTAACAACAGAGGAAGCTTCTGTGGAATATAAAACCAGAAATACAGATTTAGCTGCATTATAAGAATAAACTCTATCTGAACACTGAAAACGCAAAAATGGCACAGGATACTGCAATAAAGTTTGTGTTTGTTGGTGGCGATTCTTTAAAAAATGCTATAGGTTAAAAATAGGCATTTGAAGCTGTTATGTACCACAAAAAAAACCCCAACCCCTTAATTTGTGGAAGGGTGGTTATTTGGAGAAGCAGAGACTTTTTATCTCAAGCTAACTTCAAATCCTGCATGGTATTTGACTGGCTGGTTGGCAGATAACATAAAGGGCATTTGGTAGTGTCAGGAAGATGTGTGTTTTGCATTTCTCAGTCTGCATGCAGAAGCAGAGCCCATTTGCTAAAGAAAAGACTCTCACTGATTTTCCCACCTTTTGGGTAAGGCCCAGGATGAGCATGGACAGCCTGACTGCTAGACCCACAGAGGAACTTCAGCCATGGCAATACTGAGCACTGAATTTCCCAGCTCTTAGACCCTGCAAAACCTGGGGGAATTCACATCCATCTTGGGAAGCCCTGGCTCCTGGCACGATGTGCTGTGTACTCCTTCCACCTCTACATTGAAATAGCTATTCTAGCAAGGGGAGTGGAACACAATTGTTTATTTGTTTTATTTTTTCATACAAATTACTTGAGTTATATCTTCTATTAGTGGTGTGATGGGCTTGACTGTATGTTCTCTGAGTTTTGTAACAGCGTGGTTCTTATTCTTGCAAAATTATAACTGTGAATATAAGACAAATGCTTATAACAGTAATAAGCCTCCCACTTCAATAGCAATCTTATGCTCTCACCTCTTTTGGAGTACTATTGAAGTATGAACTTACTGTCAGTGAGTACTAGCAACAGCAGAGAAAATATAAAAGAAATGTTTTTGGAAAGGAGCATGCTTAGTGCATTTTACCCTTTAAAAAGCTCATCATGAATTTGAGATCAGAATCACTGTTCACTTAGAAAGACAAGAGAAGACCACTAGATGGTGGTAAAAACCCAAAACTTTGCTAACAAAATCTGTGAAAAGAGAAGTTCAGAGGGGCAAAGAAGGGGAGGAGGAGCCACAGTTTGAGTACTGAAGTCATTATTGCTTGGAGTCTATAAAAAGGCAGTTGCACAGTAAGTAATTTATACGTGGTCAGCCTTGACTCTATGGATTTACTCATTCCTTTTCCTCTATTTTTGTCATCTATTCCCACCAAGGAGTCCCCAGCCCCAGATGTTGGGTGAGGAGAGGGGCTGAAACTTCTGCTCTCTGGAGGAAAGGTTGCAGGCGATGAAGAGGAAGAGCAGCTGAAGGAAAACCTCTGGTAAATAGGTACAGTTAATTCTTGATTGCAAATAAAAGGTTACTTTCAAAAACTGAAAATTATTTAGCTTGATATGCTTTGAATTTTATTTGCCACAAGTCACTGACAATCAGCTTTAAGTGACCCCTTATTAAGAATCTGATGGCTTACAACTTGCCCTGAATATTGTCATTACCAAAAGAGCATTGAATAAAATACTGATGATCTAGAATAGAAAACTTATTTTCATGACAGAATGCCACCCATACTGATTCTGTAACCTTAGTGTATCCTGAAATGTATGGATTTGCCTTGGTTAGTTGTTTAATACTATGCTCTTAAGTGAGCATGTTAGTATTGCACAGAGAAGCTGTTTATAACAGTTCATGTGAACTAAGAAGTACAAAGGTCAGGAAAACATTTAAATCTTTTACTGAAAATGTTTATTTCTTAATTGTGGCAATAATTCAAACTTCTATATATTGTATTCAAGCGAGCAGGTTCTGCCAAACTTAATACTATATTCTTCTGCATTTCTGGGGTCTGAGGATTGAGACTTTGAAAACTGTTTGTTGTTTGGTGTTCAACAGAATTTCCAGGACATCATGATCACTTCTGGGGGACGGAATAGAATAAACAAAACTATGAATGAAGAGTGCATGAATCTTTTCATTAGTTTGTGGTTTTAATTTCCCAGTAAGGATGGGTAGAAAAACAATGAGCCAATTGGAGGTTAATTTAGAATCAGTAGAGGAATATAGTGTGGAAGAGGCAGGGAGTGTACAAACCTAATTAAACACAAATGGCTGGTATTTGTTTTGTCAACTTCTGCCTGTTCTCGTCATGCTATATTTTTCTTTGGCAGGGTCTTTTGCCTTTTGGAAAATGCATTTACCACACTCCTTGGCAAGTGCCTCAGAAAGAACAGAACGTGTTTGCTTCCAGAGATGAACACATCTTCTCAACTGTATGTTTCTGAACTAAACCTGAGTGCCTTTGGCAGCAACTTTACTGTGCCTACTGTCAAGAGCAAGTTATCGCCATGTGAGCAAGTGGTCATTGCAGCTGAGGTGTTCCTAACTCTGGGCATTGTAAGCCTCCTTGAAAATATCTTAGTTATATGTGCAATAGTTAAGAACAAGAACTTGCATTCACCCATGTATTTTTTTGTTTGCAGTTTAGCAGTAGCTGACATGCTGGTTAGTGTGTCTAATGCTTGGGAGACCATAACGATATACTTAATAAACAACAGACACATAATTATGGAAGATGCCTTTATCCGTCATATAGACAATGTCTTTGATTCAATGATATGCATATCTGTGGTGGCTTCCATGTGCAGTTTGCTGGCTATAGCAGTAGACAGGTATATCACTATCTTCTATGCGCTGCGTTATCACAACATCATGACAGTGAAAAGATCAGGGCTTATTATTGCATGCATCTGGACCTTTTGCACGGGCTGTGGCATTATCTTCATTCTTTATTATGAATCAACTTACGTGATCATTTGTCTCATCACGATGTTTTTTACCATGTTGTTCCTCATGGTCTCGCTGTATATCCATATGTTCCTCCTGGCTCGTACTCACGTGAAGAAAATAGCTGCTTTGCCTGGGTACAACTCTGTCCGTCAAAGAACCAGCATGAAAGGAGCCATCACTCTGACTCTGCTTCTTGGCATCTTCATTGTTTGCTGGGCTCCATTCTTCCTTCACCTCATCCTGATGATCTCCTGCCCTCAAAACCTCTACTGTGTTTGCTTCATGTCTCACTTCAACATGTACCTCATTCTCATTATGTGCAACTCAGTGATTGATCCTTTGATCTATGCCTTTCGTAGCCAGGAAATGAGGAAGACCTTCAAAGAGATAATTTGTTGCTATAGCTTGAGAATGGCCTGTGGGTTATCAAACAAGTATTAAGAAAACAAAGACAAACCAGGAAAGAGAATCAAAATGCAACATCTTGCTGCATCTTGTAATTCTGCTGAAATGCCTATGGAACATCTTTCTCCATTCAGCTGTCATGATTTCTGTGGCAATCAGAAACCATTTTTTAATATGTGATTTTACCTTTCTTCTGCTCCATGCACCTCTCTCACACTGGTGGTAGGAGCTACTCAGTGCTTCTGTATTATGGGCAGAAAGAATATTTCGAATCTCACTTACCCTACTGAAGACTGGATCTCATAAAGGATTATACAGGGAAAGACTTATTTTCCTTTCTGCCAAATGCAATGAATGTGACCTGCCATGCAAATGAGCCCATCAGCTTCTCTGTGTGTGTTTCTCTTGATATTCTTTGTCTCTCTAGATACAGCATGGCTTATTTTGATGCCCAGAATTAACAAGTTTTATGCTATTTCTTTCTGAAGATGTAAAATGAGAGAAGTAGCTCCAATTACCAGGGTTCACGTAACTTCCTCAACAGTTATGACCAATATATATGCAGATATCAGCAGTCTTGTACTCCAGTCATGACTGTTACTGTCATAAAACATGTATTATGTAAGAGGACAGTGTTACCATGAGATTTTCATATCTGACTATATGTGTTCTTACAACTGTGGGGTAGGATGTACCATAGGTGGATTTTAAGGCTGAATATGAAGACTGAGCTGATTCTAGTTTGTCTGTTTTCTTTATTCACCAGGGCTAGGGAAGTAAAGTGTACGTGGCCTATAGAGTCATGTAATGTTTTGTGGAGATGGAAAGACTGGGTGAGTGGCTGCCTTTACACAGACATTAGAAAAGTGTTTCAGCTAGGAGTAGCTTTTGTTCCTGGAGGGAACTGTACTGTAGATTGCGTCTTTCAAGCTGGGAGAGGCAAAACAAGTCTGATGATCAGAAGGCATAGCAGGCAATGGCAAAACAGGGATTTCAAAAACTCAGGCACATGTAACTATAACAGGCGGTCCTGAGTTTTGCTCCCTAAACGAACAGTTTTTGTCTTTGTTGAGAGGATTCTAAGGTGAAGCCCTCATGCCTTTTGTGTAATTTGCATCTAGTCATGCTCTCATAAACATGCTGTTCTGCAACAGCTGTGTAATGTGCAAAATATTGGATTTATCACAGATGGAGGAAGTGCAACTGTGGCATTGATTTCTTGATACCAATGGATGGTACATATGTTGCAGTGTGACATAAGCCATGAAAATATTTCAAGCAGTGGTATCCTACTGGCTAGATATCAGAAAATAGCTTGGAAAAATGAATTATTTCTTCCAAAAAGCTGAAAGAATAACCCTTGTTATACTCAGTTTAAGAATGCTCTAAAACTCTTGTTGTCCATAGAAGGACTATGATTGATTCAATGGGTCTTAGGTTATACCTTCAAGGTGGAAGTCCTGATCACATATTGGGAAATTTTTTTTACCATAAGGGTGGTCAAACATGGGAACAGGTACCCAGTGGTTGTACAATCTCCACCCTTGGAGATATTCAGAACTTGACTAGACACAGACCTGAACAATCTGCTCTAAGCTGAAAGATGACTCTAATGCTGAAGTTGGCCCCGCTTTGAATGATTTGGAATAGATGACCTCCACAGGTCCCTTCCAACCCAAGTTATGCTGTGATTCTATGAAACAGTTTGCATATTATGATAAAATTATCATTTTTTCCCCTCTTAATTTAATCTCTTGTAGAATTGTAAAAGATTCTCCTCCACACATTTAGAAAGATAGCATATTTTGTATCTTCATTTGTTTTGGAGGTCTCTGGCAGGATAAGTAGGGTGTATCTTTAGCACCTTATACCTTTTGTCTGCTGCAGCTTAAAATATATACTGCCTCCAGCTCGCACATATCTTCCTCTTATATAAGTTGGAATGTTATTCTCGGTGGAGACACCTTATTATTTTGACTGTAGATATAATGGTTGTATCAGTGCACTAGGCGCTGGAATCTTCCTTCAGCTATACCTGAAAATGGGCTTTCAGAGGTATGTTTGTGAGAATCTTGCCTTGTTTCAGTCCACCTCTTAACTCTGTCCATAAATGGCTCCTAAGAGTGGGCTCTTGCTACTACGAGTGTAAATAGCAAAAAGGAGACAGTTCAATTACATAGTGAAAGGCACCAGCTGATGTAAATAAATCATTAAATCTTCACTGGGTATTGCAAATAAGACAGTCTTGTACATAATTATAAATCAACAAAGAAGAAGCCAAAACTATAATAGCTTTGGGTATTTTCTTGAATTGTACATTACTTTTTTGTTGGAAGTTTATTTGATGTATAAAGACAGACATATGAAGAAGCTATTAAACTGGATTGCTGGAAAACCCACTGTTGTTGGTTATTCATTGTAACTTGTCCAATAACCTTATAGATTATTCACAGAGGGAATATTACATTACAGGCTTTCACTTCTCAATTTAAACAGATGCCTTATTAAAAAACACATTATGAAAGAGAGTTACAGATTCATACAATGTATTTACATTCATACCTATGCTCCTCTAGGTGTCAGTATCACATCCTCATTATAAGCTTTACTCGTGGGAGCTAAAACAGTTTAGGGGGGAAATGAAAGTATTTTCAAGAACAGGTTAGAACAGTTGCTGCAAAAAAAGGCTGTTTACAGTATAGGAATGAATCTAAAATATGTGTCTCTCTGAGGCCATGACATGTTTTAATCTGTTTCTTTCTCCTGCTTAGCCACAGAATGAAAGCAACATTTAGCATGCTTTCACTTCTACCAGAGCTTGCAAAACGCTAAATATTCTGATAGATTGGGACAAGCAAGCATTGTGTAAGTATGAAATTTGCTGTCAAAGGACAATCATGAAAAAATTAGCTGCTAGGCCGTCATTGCACCATGTCCCCACAGCTAAAGGTACTACTCTTGCTTACACTGCCAGTCACTTATGGTTTGGTATCAGTCATTAGAAAGAAGCTCAAATCACACTATTTCTGTCCCAGAGCTCCAAAACCAACTTCTATTGCCCACCACTGCTTTGATGACTGAACACTTCACTGCTTCTAACTTGTGTGTCACTATTTTAAAGTTTTTAACAAGACGTTATTCTGAAATCACCCCTGTTGCAGGTGGGTCAACTTCTATAAACTCGCAAAGGGTGGTGAAATTACACCTGTATTTTAAGTAGATTAGTAGAAGCAGGGAGAATATTAAAAAAACCCAACCAACATTTCTAGCTGCACCAGAACTTCATCTATTGAAGCAGAAGACTGGATTCTTCAGTCTATAATAATGCAAAGGGTGGTTGATGTTAGGCATGTTGCTCTGTCTCCAGATCACACTGAAGTACTTCATATGGTGCTCTAAGTTTTGCTTGCTTTAGTAGATTGAAGTAGATGGTTGGCTTTTGAAAATAATGGCATTGCCTGGATAATCCCATACCCAGCATGCTCCTATACTACAGCAGGAAAATATGAATCTTTTCTCCAGGCCAAGACCACAATAGGGTACCCAGAAATACTAGTTTTTCAAGAGCCTTAGCATCTCCTGTAACACAAACCAGTCATAACTGAAAGGAGCAAAGAGATTGTTTACGATCCTGGGCCAGCTGTGCTTTCCAAATGGGCAAAAGTCTGTCACAAAGGGCTCTAACTACTGAGTACTACCGTCTCTGGGTCTGGGCTGGGAGGCATGATTGCTTTCAGCTCTACAACCTACAGGCCTGCAACTTCTGTGCAACCAGTGTCCAACTCCCTTTTGAGAGTGGGTTGCACATTCCCACTGCTGAGGCCTTTCCTCTTAGAAAACCTTCTCTGAGTGGCTCTCTGGAGGCTTTAGTTGCATTTTTCAGGAATCCTGTGCAAAATAAGTGCAGGAACCACAGGAATTTCCTGCACACACAAACTTTAAGAAGGCAGAAAAGGTTTATACATCTGTGGGAAAGCAACCAACTCCCTCACAGAGTCTGCTCTCTGAAATCTCAAAGGACTCTGTTTTGTCTCAAAAGCCTTGTTGGGGATTCTCCTGCCTCTCTTGCTGTAAATCCTTCTTCTGTTGCTGGCTAGCTTCTTGCACAGAAGACCAGCCCATGGTGACCACTGCTGTGTTCAGGGATTGCAGTGGATGGTCCCAGTCTTCAACTGTGTTGGTTTGCATGCACAGTGCCCTTCCTGTTAGGTAGGATGGGTGAATAAGATATGGGAACATGGATGTGGAAATGGGGATCCCCACATCAGGGATGGAGAGAGATGGAGGCTGTGGTGGAGCTGCCTGCTTAAGCCTCCATGCTATGTTATCTCCATGTGAGATGCTCTCCCTCCTTTTCTAATCTTATCATGTATTACAACCTGAGCCATGCACATCTTGCATCCAGCTTGCTCTTCACACAGGACAGAAAAGGAGAATCTGAGGGGGGTGTGTGTGTGTATCTGTACTTACATACATGCCTACATGTGTATGAGTTCCTACTCCCAAGTATCACAAAGTGAGTACAATCACAAATTACATCAACATATGAAATGTATGTAAGGATGTATAGTTTCTTTTTCCCTAACCTTTCTCTTTGTCATCCAGTTATTTGTTACACTACTTTCTGATTTGTGGCTTGTTTCTCACATATTTCCTCCACCTGTGAACAAACTAGGAACAGTCTAAATCTGAATCAGAAGGAAAAAAACTCAAGCACTTTTTGCAACTTGAGCTTTTGAAAATGATAGTGAATCAGTGTGACAGAACAAAGAGTTCCCCTAGCACCTGTCACACTGTCTAGTAAACTTTAAATTCTTATGGTCCTTAAACACTATCCCTAGAACAGTTTCTTCTTGATCTGCTTTTCTATAAATCCTAAGAACGTGTGACTGGCTGCACTGAGCACTGGGAGTGAAGGGTCTCCATCAAAATAAAGAGCAGCTGTTTAGGGGAACGATACAAAATCTGGACATGTGCATGGTAATCCTCTGAAATACTCTTACAGCTTCTAGCAAGCTATGGTTTAGAGACTTCTT